ATGAACGAATCACAATATTATATACTTTGTGGATATGGATCACAGTATATATTCAATACTGTGTGGAGGTAACACGAAGGAGTTGGTATAATAAAATAATTCACCATAATTAAGTATTTCAAGTTCGATGGCAGAGTAGAAATGTCATGTTTGACATTTAGTGACAATATTAACATTGTGGAATCTTCACGGACAGACGTTTTATATGTGTGGGTGTGTGTGTGCGTGTGTGTATGTGCGCGTGTGTGTGTGTGTCTCCAAATCATGTTAGGTGTACAATGTCATCTGTTCTTTACAATTCTCTTAAAAAAGCATAAAGTTTTCGTATTAATATCAGGCTTAATAAATTCTTAACATCATGTTTTCTATGAGTTATACTTTATCGCCATAAATGTAATTTTAATGTGTTTAAGTTTTAAATTCAAGACCATTCCAATGTAGAGGAAAGTATTCAAATGACATATGATTCGTTTAAGTTGACATCAGAAACCTGATCGAATTTAAATATAATTAACATAATAGAAATTCTTTTATGCTTTACTTACAAGCGGGCGTTAACTTTTATTTTCTATTGTGAAATAAATTGATTGATTGTTATACATTGCTAGATAAATATAAAAATGTTTCACAACCGATTAATTACTTACGAGACTCAATTTGCATATATAATGTTTAAAATTTTTGCAAGATTTGCTTAATTCGATACATTTTTGTAATATATTTGCGAAATATTTGTTTATTGAGGTTGCGTCAGTTTAGATGTGCGATTTATTTTATCATCTTAATATCGCAACTTGAAATACAAGACTCTTAATGTTAATTAAATGAAATAGAAAGTAATATACATAAAATGTTTTAAATTATACATATGATGAGAATTGGAAACTTATAACAGCATCTAATGCGTTGTGAGTACCGCGAGTGTGATCCATCCAAGTATTTGAGAGAGTCCAAACATTCCGTGTCTCGTAACGATTTAATTCGATGTTTAACAACTGATAATCTAGCCCTTTGTTCGCGCCTCTTCATAAACATAATTGAGATCGCATCTGGAAATTATGAATACGCTTTGAAAAATATAAGATAAATACTTTGATCGCGCACATACAGACGGACGGACGGCTTACTCTAAAACGATCTTAAACATTATACATAATAGTGGAAATAGATTTATTCTGAAATAAAAATACTTTCTTCAGCTTTCCTGCGTGTGTTATCAGAAGAAAGTCGTTATAATCTATTCAAAACATTCGTAATTGGGCATAAAGTTATGTTAATTCAATAAATAAACATTAGTTAATGTGAATATTCATGTTGAATTCAAATAGCTTTCTGACGACTCAACAGTGATAGAAATAACGATTTTTAAAGTTACTCAATATACAGGGTGACTGGTGAATTACTATCGATACTTGAGGACGTGATATTTGACGATCATATATGACAAAATAAAAATAAATATAACATAAATATTAATAAACTTCTAAGTAAAGTTAACCAAAAGTTATGTAATTAATTACGCATCGTGTGAACACCCCACAGATTAGGTATACACACACACACACGTCCACACTTGGAACACTTGGACCGTGTTCACACTTTATTTATTTATACGGAAATTTGGTCAAAAATTAAGTAGCTATTTTTATTACATAATTCGAATGAGAATCATGTACCGAGTATTCTCCTTAAATATTGATAGTAATTCACCAGTCACCTGTATAGAAATAACTTGGATTAAATACATATAATTATGATGTTTGGCTCTAAACTTTAATTTACCAAAAAAAATTATATTTGTAGGGAAAGACATAATTTATTTATTCTATTTCTGTTCTTATTATATTGTTTAATAAGTAATATTGTGTTATAAAATCGATAGACATTTCTACATCATCAATGAGAGTATAATCGATGTATTACTAACAAAATCATGTTCATCTCGATCTCTCGAGATATCATTATCACATCAGTATCAATACTCGCCAACTATTTAAAATCGATATACTTTCAAAATGGCAGGTTGAGTTGCAACATGCTAGTTTTATCACAAATGTCCATATTTGTGTTAAGGTGGGCGGAGGACTTGGAGAAATGACGTAAACTTACTCGTGAGATTATTAAATTAATATATATTAATACATTGACCTTATACTATGATTATTAACATGAGATCAGGTTCTGGGAGGTCTGTCGATTTTATAAGCGGTAAGACTGATTATTGGCAATGAAAAATCATGAAGAAGTTGAAAAGGTTCAAGAGGTTTGAAGTTTGTAGGAAAATATAAAATCTAAAGAAATCTAGGCAAAGTTTTATCACTAGACTGTAAAGCAGCATTTAATATTATCATAATTGTATAAACTGTGTTGGTACGTTTCAAATCGTGATTTCAGTATCATTAAATGTGTATTGTATAGACGCGGAAGTTGTAGCTGGAGATGCCGCTGAGAATGTTTAAAATGTTGGAAACATTACACCTTACATTGTAACATTATAATGGAATTTAAATTAAATTATATGAAATAAAGATTTAATATATAAAAGTAACATTACTTATTGGTACGAGAGCTAGCAACGTCAAAAAAACAAGCATTTCAGGTAGGCTAGTTTTTGGATATGCTATCTCTCACACTCCCCTGGACGTCCTACGGGCTATCTGGCTGCCGGTAGTTGTTGCGTTCATCAGTGCGCATCGTACTTGTGGAGGTAAAAAATTAATATATCAAATCATTTTAAGAAGGTTTTTATTATTATTATTATTATTATTGAACTATTCACAACATAAATTTATTATTGCCAGGTATTTTTATTGTTGTTTAAACGGTGCCAAGCGGCAATTTTGAATAAATTTTTTTTTTTTTTCAAACTATTTTAGTATAGCTGAAATTTTAATAGCATGTTATTTAACTATCTAAAAGCTCAGAATTAATTTGCCAGGAAAAAAATCGGTTGTTAAACTTTTGCCAGATCGAAATAAAGTGTAAAGAGATGTAGTATCATTTAAGCTCGGTCTAGAAAATTAATCGTCTAATAAATGATGGAAGAAGGTTTAAAAACTATTGAATTTATTTATAGATGAATACGGTATAAAAATAATACTTTATTGTTGTACAAAATTGAGAAAATGATCAATGTTAAGTTTGTAAAAGCGCTCTGGCTACCGCAAGACTAACCTCTTCACGTATGATTTCTAAAACCCTATCGTATAATTTTGAAAAAAAGTTCCGTAATTTTGATCCATCAAGTCTACCACCGAGTAAAGCTGAGTTATATCAACACTTACTACGAGTTCGTTATGTCACAACGTTTTGGAGAAATGCTTATTTAAAATACCCAACATCTCTATCACCTCAAGCTTCTGGCTGGACCATTAATGATGATAAATATGATTTTATCTGGTTTGTTGGGGAGCAATTACCAACATTAGTTGCCGATATTATTATTAAAGGTAAACATTTGAACTAAAATACAAAAAAAAAAAATATTTCTCGAAAGATATTAAAATTTTTGATTCTATTACAGATAACAGTTTATTACAAAATGATAATAATTTTAAGGACGATGATAACAATGGAAATGACAGCAGTGATGAAGATGATGATCTTTTTCAAACTTAACATTGATCATTTTCTCAATTTTGTACAACAATAAAGTATTATTTTTATACCGTATTCATCTATAAATAAATTCAATAGTTTTTAATCCTTCTTCCATCATTTATTAGACGATTAATTTTCTAGACCAAGCTAAATGATACTACATCTCTTTACACTTTATTTCGATCTGGCAAAAGTTTAACAACCGATTTTTTTCCTGGCAAATTAATTCTGAGCTTTTAGATAGTTAAATATCATGCTATTAAAATTTCAGCTATACTAAAATAGTTTGAAAAAAAAAAAATTTTAATTCAAAATTGCCGCTTGGCACCGTTTAAACAACAATAAAAATACCTGGCAATAATAAATTTATGTTGTGAATAGTTCAATAATAATAATAATAATAATAAAAACCTTCTTAAAATGATTTGATATATTAATTTTTTACCTCCACAAGTACGATGCGCACTGATGAACGCAACCACTACCGGCAGCCAGATAGCCCGTAGGACGTCCAGGGGAGTGTGAGAGATAGCATATCCAAAAACTAGCCTACCTGAAATGCTTGTTCAAAAACGTTGCTAGCTCTTAGAATATATTATATAACAAAGATAAAACAGATTACAAAAATAATTTCAATTGACATTTTAAAGTAAGTAAATTATAAGAAAATAGAAAATATGTTTAAATAAGTAGATATTCAAACTAATATTTTGTGAAAATATTACTATTATTTTTGATTATAAACTACATATTCCCGACGTTGCTTTTACATTGCAGCAACCGCAATCACGTGACGCGTAGTATACCTATCAGCAAAATATTAGTTTCATTTAAATGAATCGCGATAATCTCAGATCTCATTAAGTGGATATTTACGTCTAGAGAACCTAAGAAAATGTTTTGAGACACGTGACTTATCGTCAATAGGATGAAGAAAGTACATTTCTCTTGTTGTTGAAGGATGCGTGTAGTGTCCGCGTGGTGAAGGTCGCCGCGTGACCAGCACCTTAAAACAAACGGAACTGAGACGTTCAGAAACATTGGATCGCATCTTATTGTAATGAGACATTCTAGTGCACACTTGAAAAGTTACAAGACCTTTCCAATACTGTTAATAAGAGAAAATACTTTTTTTTTTAGATATATTCGATCTAGCATGCGATTTCATTAGGATAAATTTAATATTTAAATAATTTATTGCTTAAAATATTTTAAAAATTTAAAAAATAATTTAAATTTTTTGAAGTAATATTTTCTTTAACTTTCGATAATATACCGATGAGAAAACATATTAATATATTAAATATTTCATTGATAATTATTATTAATCTATTAAATAACCTCTTCTAATAAGAGTAGTGAGTTATAACTAATACATGGTACGTCAGTATGAGTGTCAATCAAACGGTACGGGAGTGTGACACAGGACAGGGGACAGTTGTGAGCACGCGTCCATAAACTACAAGAGCACTTTCCCTCCAAGATAACACACTACATACCATCTCCATTGATAAACGACACACACAGCCACTAACAGGCGGAGACAGGTGCGACACTAGCTATAATATTAAAAACAAACAAGAAAAATTACAACTTATATTATATATTGCATATTTACATTTTTAATCTGTGGTATATCACTGTACAGCCTAAGTAATATTTAGTTTGAATCTGTTTGTTTAAACTACGTCATGAATTGTGTGTATATGAATGTAATGAGTGTTGTAAATTAAGTATAATAATGAGTGTAAGTGTTGGAGTGTCGCACCTGTACAATAATCTTGGTGGAGTAACAGCTTTCGAGTGTTCTCGGACGCATAACGGGCCGGCGGTCCGCGGCGAGCGCACGTCTGTGTTGTGTCTGTGAGTGACTGTGTGTGATACATTGAACAGGATAGCGACAGGTGAATAAGTTCACGTACATACATATTAAATATATTAACATTATATACCCATATAAATATCATAACATATAATATTATAGCTAATTATTTGTGTAGTGTTTTGGCGTCGTACTTATTTTTCATTTAATGCATTTCATAAATTAGGTTATTTGTAAATATTACAACTCTGTTTACGATGTTTTAGAATTTTGCGGTCGATTTAGTTTCACGAAGTATTCTTTTTGCGTACCCTCAATTTAGAAAATACAGCTTTTTAATAAAAAAAAAATAAAGTACGTAAATAAAAGTATAAAATAATTAGACCAGAAAAAGATTATTTGATAGTAGAGGAGTATAAAGTAAGACGTTTATGATAGATAATTAAAATGTATATTATATGTCAATAACAAATTAAGGTTAATAGATGCTGTGATCTCATCTTAAAGGTAATGTTCCAGATGATACAATTAAATATCAATTAGGCCAGTTAGTGGGTCAACGACCCGTCCGCTCCACGCCGGCTTAGACCCAGTGTCGCTGAAATACTTCATATTAAACAATTTTATATGTTTTGTTAAAATAACAAGAAGATTATATGAAAGTTACCACTCTCATTATATTCCTTATTATTTTATGTCAAATTTGATTCGTAAAAATAGCGAAATATTTTTGTTCTACTTTAAATGTAATGAGATTTGTTGATATAAAGTAGTAATGAAACATTTCACTTTCACACAACTCGGACCGCGATCTAATTGGGTAATATTATTTGTAATTATCAAATAAAATAAAACAAACACAACTTAATATTTAATAGTAAATATAATTGAGATAAATTGATTACTTCTATAAATACTTATTAACAAAAAATTTAGGGATCTAGAACAACAGAGATTTAACAATTTTATGGTCATTTGAAGTGTTTTTATATAAACTATTTATTTAAGATAAATTTATTATATTAAATTGAAAGTCACTTGATTCTGTGATCTTGTTAAAATAAAGTTTAAAATGATTGTTTCTAAATACTTGTTCGTGATTTTGTTATAATTAGGGTATTTTAGATTTTTGTATACGTGCACGATATCAAGGGTACATTGTCTTTAAAAATAATTGTATGTCTGTGTATTTTCTAGTTTATACGAAGTAATAAGACTCGCAAAATAACAGGACATAATTTTTAAACTATTTATTGGGAATAATTTTTGCCCGAAATTTAATGTTCCTGTAAAATTAACAAATTGTTAACGGTCATTTGACATTTAAATAATAGTTTTTGTTAAAAATAATTACAAATTAAACGCGGAAATATAATATTATTGTAACAGGAGTGAGACATGAAAACCAAAGAAGCCGTTGAAAGAATCGCGTCAGGAACAAATTGAAACCAATAGGACTTAACGTGATATTGTATTACATGAACTATCATATAATATAGTATGTTTAAAATGATTACTTAATGTCAGGGATTGAACCTGTGACCTCTAGGAAGGATGATGATAAAAGAAAGTCGTCTTAGTTACACTATTTATAACTCAAGAACGACTCTAGAGATTTGGCTAGAAAATTCGTGGAGAGGTAGGTTTGATTCAGGAGACGGACATAGGATACTTTTTAATATGTTCTATCAAAAAAATCGCTAAGAATATCTGTTTGTTTACTGCCTCTTAATCGAAACAGTTCGCCTGGTCAGCTATACATGTCTTATTATGAAAGTAACGCGGACAAAGTCTCAGGCACAAGCTAGCTTTATAGAAAACTATTATAATATTTTATATTTAATTCATCTTATTCTCTTGCCTATGTCTTTCTAAGATGATTGTTAATCACAAATTATTCCCTACTTGTGAATATTGTCAAAATGTTGGTTTAGTTAGTGACGTCACAGTATATAGTTAATTAATTGAACCGCGTCTAATGTTATGTTAACTGCCATCTCCGCGGTTAGTTAAAAACTTTCTTGGACCTACTTTATTAATAGACGAGTACGAATGGTCAAAATATGGTTTAAAATACAAATACTAAAACATTTATATAGGTAAATAAATTATTTGTGTTTTTTTTGTATAAAATTATTTATCTGTAGTAAATCTTCAACAAAGTTATTGTTCGATTTTCATACAAATCGCTTTTTCGGCCTTTTATTTGTAATCCGTATTCAAGGGAGTAACCATTTTATTATTTACATAAAATAACTTTAGACAGATATTATGAATAAGATATTTTTTTCATTTTGAAGAAAATATTTTTTTATCTTTAACATAATTCTCATATATGTATATATGTATGTATTGTTTTAAACCACCTACAATGACAAGTCCTCTTTTTTTACCTATATCAATGGTATAGCTATTCCATTATACAATATTTCTATGTCCCTAGTTATCATTTCATGGAACAAGCACCATTACACACAATCAATTAATATCACCAAGTATTTATTAACGAGCCGCTAATTGTTTTATATTACGTGATGAAACTTGGTGATCGCATCAGAATTATTTTCTCAATATAATAGTGTTTCCTTACAAAGTATTATTTAAATGAAATTAATATTTTTCGTATATCCCTACTAATATTATAAATGCGAAAGTAACTCTGTCTGTCTATCTATTACGCTTTCATGCCTAAACTACAGAACTGATTTTAATGAAATTTGGTACAGATATAGTTGACCTTGAGAAAGAACATAGGATAGTTTTTATCCCACACTTTTGAAAAGTTCTCTTGGAAACGCGATTTTACCGAACTCCACGCGGGCGAAGCTGCGGGCGGAAAGCTAGTACTACTATATTTTTAGGTACAAACTACATACTCTAGACGTTTCGGTTACTTTTCAGCAACCGTGATCATTAAGACGAGATGTTTTATATCTTATTTTTAATCCGTATGCTAGCTGTGTGTCGCGGTGTCGTAATACCTCCACAGTATGCCGGTCATAATTTCCTCTACATGATGCAAGTGGAGTAGTTCACCTCACCTCCGACACTTGATCCTTCCTCTATCTGGTGTATGGTGTCTGGTGTCCTGTTGCAAGGCTCAATCCACGTCGGAAACACTATCATCACCAAGCCTTCGATCAGCTCTAGCATGTTACAGCTTCATGACGTACTACAGACCGGCTTTTTGATGAGATCACTTACAACGTCATATATTAATAATCATCCGAACAATGAGAGTTCATTGAATTTTATATTAATTTGTAAGACTTTATTACAAAGACAAAACAATTATTATAGAATTACTACGCGTTATTTTTATTAGTATGTAGTTTTTAAGAACATTAGAAAAACAAAAGAAATATATATATTTCTCTTAACCAGGTCTATGTAAATGTATTTTTAAACTCCTACATAAGTTATATATGAAGTATATTTATGAAGCATATTATAATAATAGGAGCGTCTTTAATATTTGTTCTATCATGAGATGTCACCTACACTTAGTCCACACACGGTCCACTCAGGAGCAGTCTTATGAAGAACGTAACCTCTTTTCATTTCTATTCATCCGCCAGTCTTTCTAATTTAATAGACTTCTTAGAATTGAAACCATAGTTTATATCTTCAATTATTTGCCAGAATTTAACATTACCTAATATGAATAACTAGTAGAATGAAGCGTCTTTAAAATATTTCGCTCAAACAGCTTCGTCATAATCAAAATCGTTGATCCAACGAGATGTCAGCTGGTAACAATCAAATATTGTAACAGTTGAAGAGATCAGGTAACGAGTTGAGTACCGATCAGCCGCTTCGAAGATTGACATGGAGTCAGTAGCATTAGAAATGTATACAGATATAAAAAATAATATTACTGTGGAATTACAAACATATTATATATTAAGAAGTTTGTTTAACAACTTGTACGATGTCACGTCTGTCCGTGATCACGGTTGCTGAAAAGTAACCGAAAGAGATTATGTAGTTTTTATAATAATAAACTACGCGTAGTATATACGAAAAATATTAGTTTCATTTATATTTATACGACTTGGTAAATAGATGGTTTTGTTATAGTATATATAAAGTTTTGAATCCAAATTAATGTTCATCTATACGGCTGCTGTCCATTCTTCACTCCAAACTGGTCATCATACTATAACACGTTGTAATGATCCATTCTTCTCGAATTTTTTCTGTCGCCCGACGTCCAAATACAAAAAACACCAACTTACTTCAAGCCAGTGATCTATTAGAAAAATTGTTATTAAAGCAATCGTAGCCATATCTGAGATAAAAAATATTTTCTTACAACGATACAATTAAAGGAATGGCCGTATTGTTTCTATTGTATTTTTAAACATGTACAAGTGTAGTTGTTCCACAGTAGTTGAATGTGTTTATCTGTAATTCCGTTTAATGACCACGTCCACAAATGAACTGAGTCTCAAAGTGTATTAAGTCACGTACCGCCACTCTATTACTCCACTATTTTGTAATCACTATTGTTTATAATTACAATTTGTCTGCATTCCATCGTTTATATTAATTGAACTATTTAATTTCTCGTGGAGTAAAGTTTTCTTCGTTTGGTTTTTTGTTTAATTTTAAAGACAGTAAATATTTAATATCGTCTGAAGCGCCGATCGCTAAAATGAGTTCTAAAACTTATAACTTATAAAGTTATCTGTTTTGTTTTTTTTATTAGATAATATAAGAGTAATCTTCATTATTTACAAATATATTTTTAATTGAGTTTAATTATTATTAGTATTTCTCTTATAAATATTAAGCTGACGTGAAGTATCTCAGTTCAACTAACACTTGGATCACATTCAATAAATTCACTTATACATATATGTACTCTCTAATAATGGTGAAAACAACCCTAAACTTTGAAGGGTGTAGTACCTCAGTATTACTTATACTCTTCCTCATTTATTTTTATTATTCTTTCTCTTATTGTGCGTGTTATTTCATATGTATTATATAACATACCGACTACTTATCGTATATGAGTCGTGTGTATACAAAACCTTGTGAACCACCAACAATACCGAATTCTCTAATTTTTCTCATCATTTATAACAATGATGACGTAAGCACGCGTGTTCTCACTTCTCGGTACACGTTTGTATTACAACTGTCTACCTACAATCATTACACTTCTTTTAATAGGAAATGAAACAATGTTCATTTGTTGTTATATGTCAAGAAACGAAAGAATGTCTTCATTGTTTTTCATCTAAAGTATTATTACCTACATTTTAATTTCAATTGATATCTTTTAAAACTATATTAAGGGTTTACTATAAGAAAGTCTATTTTTTATAACTCTTAATATTATTTTAGTCTGTACTTTCAAAACAAAAGCTTATGTCATCTTGTATCGTTGAATATGTCGTACAAGTCTCTTCCGAATTCGTTCGTAGATATCATAAAGCACTACCGCTATAACGTTAAATGGTTGCGCTCTCGTTAAACCCATTAAATCAGTTAACGGTTTTAACGGAAACATTCGATGATTCGTTTCGTTATGGGATCGCGTGCTCTCCTCCCGTAAGGTGCAACACCCCCTCGTACGTGGCGCAATAAACTCTCAACACGACGGCACATACATACTGTTATGAACTTAAAAAGATGAATGAAAAAAAATGAAAGATTTTAGAGTTTTATTCGTTTATATGAAACTAATATTTCTCGAATATACTATGTACGCGATTTATTTTTTTAAAAATCTACATACTCCCGACGTTTCGGTTACTTTTAAACAACCGTGATCATGGACAGACGAGATGTGAAGTATGTGTAGTTTTTTACAGAAATAAAGTCAAAATCGGTTCAGATGTTTGAGCGTGAAGAAGTAACAAACATACTCACACACTCACAAGCTTTCGCAATTATACATAATATTAATAGGATTCTGAATATCCGTTTAGAAACAATCTGTGCCAATTCTTAGTAGTTAGTACGTCCCAAAGTATAATATTTAATGACCATTATAATTCCTTTCATCATTATTCGATATTAAAGTCATCGTTCACATGTTGGAGGCTGGTTCTTCTGATGATGAATTCTCCCACGAGCGGAGACCACGTCACCTTGACGCCGGTATCGCATTCTTCAATTAAACATATTTTGAAACTGAGATACAATGGTGATTGACTTCAAGGGTAAGGCGGCGTCTCGACTAACGTTCGTACAGAACAAACAATGAGAAAATATTTCAAACTATTATTTTATAGCTAAAGATATATATGTATAATAACTTATTATTTATGCTTGGAGTGTTTTAGTTGCATGTTGTACTGATGAAGTTGTGTTGGTCTTTTCTTTCAAATATTAATATATTTATTAATGGTATTATAGCCTATATAAAGTACTTGGTTTTGTCTGGTGTATATTATAGTGTAATGTTCGGTCTGTCCAATTACCGCGGGCTGTTTCGTCACAGCCCACGGCGGGCCGGATAAGCCTCAGATGTTTATCTGATAACAGGCCATTTGCACGGACAGACTGTCGGAAAGCGTTACTTTACTATGCTTTAAATCGCCTCAAATCCTTAATTTATTTGAGAGCCGACGTGTTTGTGTCTTCGCACGTTATCTCAAGACACATCTCGTGATTATTTGCCAATTGAGTTTATCTTGAAACTAATTTTCGTGCCGATGAATCATTTATATATATATTGGTTGGCTTTAAATATATTTATGTAATGCGTTAATTAATATTTGCTAGTTGCTTCTTATTTGTCATCGCCTGTTATGTGCCGGCCAAGCACTTTCACTCACAGATACTTGTAAAGTTACTGACATTTTATTTATTATCGGTTATGTAACCTTACACTTGTTCCGAAAATATGACGGTTCCTGCATCATGGGTGGTTCTGATATGGGTATAATAATTTAGGAAAGTTTGAGATAATATAAATATATTTCTGCATCAGAGTAATGTGTAAACAGAGATGTTTTATTCCGAAGCCTCATTTGACGATGTATACATTAATAGCGGTGGAATGTCGGTCCATTTCCGACACGAGTTAGGCACGTTACACGCTCGGCGATGGATGCGGACGGGGCGCTTGTAAACTTCATTTAGTTTCTATCTAAACTTTATTGAAGACGATCCTATCTGTTTGTATTCCTCGTCCTCTCAGATAGATAAGCTTTAGATTTCCTATTTCTTGGAATAATTTCTTCCATTCAGGATGAAGTCGCGTGTACAACGCGTGGATTGAACATCTATATAAACACTCGGCTCTCGTCTCTCGTCATCTGTCGTCAGCCTAAGACATAATTCTTTCACATTAGTAGGGCACGAAGCGGCGGTCGTCATTACAAGCACTAAGTCATCTTAAACTCACACTAATGTTCTTCTTATGATGCTCACATTCTTATAAATAAGATATGTTTAAGGAAAGTGTCACACTAACATGTAATACACAGATATGCTCCACATCTGTCACATACATTGTCATCGTGGAATGAAGAATTAATATGTTTTTTTTATTTACAGTTGCTGTTCACGCCCTGCAGCTAACGTAAGTTGTCTTAAAATATATAATATATAAGAAATAAACATTAAAACGTGTTTTAAACGATATATTAGTTGCTGTTGATTAAAGCAGATTGGTTTTAGAGCAAAGCGAATGCAATCACATCTGAATGAGTCTAGTCTAGTCTTTCTACATTAGGAAAATTCATCAAGAAAAATATAATTCATTATATGGAGTGTGGAGTTCTGTGTCAGTGACTATACAGACCGTAGATATGCATGTTCTTGTATTATAATGAAGTAACAACCAATCATTATTAAATTGATTCATTTGAATAATTGAATATTATCAATGAAAAAACTTTGATGACCAAGAAACGCTGCCAAGAATATGCTCTACTTTAAATTATAGAGCATACTTTTCTTTCGACATCGGAAACAAAAGTGTTTCAGTCGATAATACAATATTGATTGTATATAGCGTTGTTCACGGATATTCTCCAGGTGTTCCGCCATACACCTGGAAAATGAAGGGAAATGTTCCCGTCATTACGTGGAGATGAGTGCTGATGACTTCACACGTCGTTTGTGACCATGAGATATTTTAACGACCGTACAACAGACACTGATGAGTACCAGCTTAGACACCCGCGGCTTCCTGACATATTATGGTTACTTGGAGATACGGTTCAAGAGTATATTTAATTCAATATTAATACGGAAATATGTACAAATTATAAATCACGATTTATGGAAATACACGATATAAATTAAATTTATCAAAAATAATTTTTATACAATAATTATTACGATCAATACATATCAATTCATAATTCAGAAATTAAAGTGTTTTGTTGATAAAAATACTATTAAGAGTAATAAAAAAACGTTAAAATTTTTACATTTTAAAGCCGGAAATTTATAATCGGTAAATAAAATTTGAGGTCCTTTTTTGGTGTTTTTGGAGGTCACTAAAGATAATAATATAATATTTGTTTTTATATTTTGATACTGAGTTGTTTTGAAACCCATCTTATATTATATAAGACAACTTAAGAAATTTGAATATTTTTATCGTAATTAACTTTATTCCAATAAACATTGTATATGTATAAAGCGAAAAATTCCGAGTATATTAGGTAAACACACTTTACGTCTGTCCGTTTGTTTATTGAACCTAATTATGTAGTTCTTTGTATTAAATAAGTGTTTATTTCTATTAAGTTTTCTTTCGTTACCACAATAACCTTCATTATACCCTGATTGACATGAGTTTCCTTATTAAGTGTATATCGTTGAAGTAATCAGACTAGTGGTTGTAACACCATGTTCGAGGCGCTATTGAAATCTGTTCGTATGTTAAAACGGATACTGTAAGGAAACCTACAAAACCACCAAACTGTGTCCATGGATTTCGTTATGTGGATCATAAACTATCCACAACTAACCAATAATTTTCGACATCAGTTTTATACAAACTAAACTGTAGTCTAATTTCCACTATCTGTTTCCTTCGGGTTTGTCTATTAGCCATGTTGCTTATAACATTAAAAACAAATATACTTACTATGTATTATGGCATCATTCAGTTGTCTCTCAACTCCATATCAATAAGTTCAAGTCTCGGAGATAGCTTACGTTGTCCTGAATAATACTATATTTCATTCAGTCATTTGTAGGCTGTAGTTTGTATGAAAATAGTAATTTACTAAATCAATCAAACGACAAATAAATTCATGACTACAGAGATGGAAAGCTCAGAAGTCTCAATACATAAATGAACAGAGTGGAAGCCAATTACGGCGCAGTAGCATCTAATGACGAGATACGTTATCCCAATATCTAACGCCATTAGCGATACTCCGAGTGTCCAGTTTATCATTGGAACATTTAAATCGTAATCTGCGAAGAGCGGCTCTTTATCACTTATATAACTCGCTGTTTTATTTACAACTGTTCGGGACACCGGCTAGGCTGAGTGCACACACGCTGCACATCTACACCTAACAAAAATTTATAGAAATAAATAACATATTGACTATCTTATATGTGGTCAGTATTATATCGTTTGTAACATATACTCGGTTCATGTTACTCCAAATCTTTATCAAACTGACTACATAGTATCTCCATTGTATTCTGTACCCCAGCATCCTTTATGTGCCCCGGTCCTAAGCTCCAACACCAGATAGCGCCTCTGATCGGATCTCACGTACGCACTCCGCATTCGATCTTCCCACGGAACACTCGCATTGATTATTTTCATCACTAAATGCATCTGCGTGATTCTATTTGATATGAGCCTAACAACGCATGGACTATGTCGACCGTCCGAGCTGTTTCTTCTGTGCCTTGTGTATTTCGGTACACCGCTCATATATTTTAACTGCATCTAATCTATTCAAATAGTTCCTCAAGTCTCATCTCTCCGTCGTGTGACACATTAGTTCGCATCTCGTACGCACCTCGCCGGCCGTCGTCTGAGTTTTCATACTCGTAGTTTTCTCAGAGCAGCGATGCGCAGCAGATGCTTCTCGCTCTATTTAACAAGTTGCAAAACGTCCAACAATACATAGACTACACAAACGGTGCACAAGTAGCTCGGTTAATTAATATACTCACATGGAAAACGAGATGATGAATAAACTATGAGTTTGAAACTCAAATTCAACTCGCTGTTAAATGGACAAAATATATGTGATGAAAGAATGATACTGAGACTTGCAATCCTAAAATACTATACTATATAATCTTTAAATTATCGTCATATACGTTATTGGGCTTTATAGTTTAATAGGATTATTGTAGAAACTAAAACTACTTGAAGCCCACATTTGATAACTTAATACTGAGAGAACTCTCATTAAAAATACCTAAGGAACATAATTACACACTACGGAGCTATAAAAAAATATATATGAGTTATTCAATCATAACGAAAAGAACTTTCAATTATAAATATTTTAATTAGTTCATTATAACAAAACATTCTTTAATATTATCGTAGTATTAAACAAATAAATTATTTTTATGTTATATAGAAAATGAACCGCGGCCGGGGAAAGAAAAGAAAGCGAAGTTGAAAAACTGAAAGTTGAATTATCAACTTATCTAACGAATACCTACACAATTATATGTTCTTGACATTACGATCTCAGATTTCATTTAAACTCGAAACATTTATACATAAAAGGTATATTATTTTAATTTACCTCTGTTATATAAGTCCGTTCTAATACATATATCCTTTTTGTATAGTTATTTATAAGGTAAATCTAAAGCAAAAAAACATGTGTTAGGACATCGTTATAAAATCGCTAACACGCAATATCCTTTCCTATAATCAGGTTTTTTTATGAGGCCATTAAATACATTTGTAAATAAACAGTTTTGGTTGCGACACGGCACACATACTGTACGTGTATGGCAAAGTGGTTTAAGATTGAGTTCTCGTTAGTCCGTTTGGGCCTATTTTGGTGAAATAATTACTGGAAAAACACTACTACATATATCTTAATACAGAAACGAAAAAAATATAAATTTAGACTTTTTAAATGCTTCGCGATCTTAGCCTCAAATACATAAATTGCTATCCAAAAGTCAAATATTAATTTATATGTTTTAATTCGCTGAAGACCTGTTAGTTTCTGATGCGGTAACTTCCTTCTGGTCAGAGAAACCCGTCCTAATACATACGATACTCGTTACTGAGACGTCTTAATGATTATAATGTGTAACAACATTCATAACATATTTATTTGTAATATTAAATGCTGCATAAAAGAAAAAGCGTTTGTAAGCTAGCACCTTTCACTGCGCCGTGATGATGTACGAGGCTGTACAGTATAGAGAATATAATATTATATATGTACAAAAAAAGAGAGACGAAAACTCTCAGCATTCAATGTATTCCCGGTGAGTGTGTCGGGTCCATCGTTGTAGATAGAGGAGCTTCAACAGTGACTGGGACTTGCGACCCAGGTGTAGGTTATACATTAATAAAATTGCTTTAGAAATATAAGCGTTCTATTCAAATTATACTCTTAATATAAAGTTATTAGTACGAGAAAGGAGACGTAACTACATAAATGTATGTTGTACAAATGTCGCCTATAAAAACAGCTATAAAGTGTAGTCTACATTGACAATAGAAGTCCCACCATTACACCGTACCCTGGTAGAAAGCGAACTAACGCATGCTAATGTTTCCGCGTTATATACAATATTTGATGACTTTCGTTTTTATCTTAACTCACTCATTATTGTAATGGATTCATGATTTATACTAGACCGGCTCGTGATCACGACCACAGAACATTTCACATTCACGACAGTTTTTCTGTTTTAAAACAATATAACTTGAATGTGTTATTTGAAGAAGTCGTGGTGGCCTAGTGGTTAAAGGCCCGCCTCTCATGTATGAGAGCGCGGGTTCAAAACCTGGCAAGTACCAATGTGATTCTTCCGAGTCATATGTTCTTTCTAAGAGTATGTGTACTGTCGAAGGAAAATATTGTGAGGAATCCTAGACTTATAATTTCACAATAATAAGTTTGAAATCACCAACCCGTCTTGAGCAAGCGTGGTGATTAATACTCAAACCTTCTCCATGTGAGAAGAGGCCTTCGCTCAGCAGTGGGCTCTGATAGGCTGATGGTCAATGTTTTATTTGAGTGACAAGTACTAAGGCTACTCAGTATAACTTGTCATCGTTGGATTGGAAGAACTTCTTCTAGTCTCTTACTTCGTGTTTGCTCTGAGCCAGTTAAAGTAAACATTAAAAAACCGTCTCCTGTGATGAATGAATGTCCAAGTCTAAATACCTTCAGTGTTATTTCAGTCTCATTATTCCAACGCCTCTATATATGACAGTAACTTTATAGCATCACGAGATCAATCTATCGATTTATATGAAATCAATCGTGATTGTTTTAAATTATATATTTTGATAAATCGTTAATGTATCTGCACCAAGTTCCCATAGCCTCAAAATGGTAGTTATAGATAACATTATAATTTATTGATCTAACGTACTTCCTTCGCTTACTAAATGTGAAGGTCGACTCTGGACTCCACTGGGCCCGCCGCGCCCGCCATTCACACAGATACTTCGACGTTACTCGACTGCTTATCAATTTAATAGAAAATAATAAACCATTTTTTTTATTAAGTTCATTCCGTTCGGAACAGGCAAAGACAACAAAGCCCATACAGCCAAGTCTTTTGTATTTTGTGTCTTTAATTATTTTTATATATCAAACCGGAGCCATGTTTTATCCTCTTTCTTCTTGAATCATGTATATACCATAGACAATTTATTTCTTTTTATAAATCACTGTCTCCTCATGTTTTAATCTACAAAGGTTTCATTTTTTTTCAACTTTTTACAAACAGACAAATCTTTATTTGTTAACATACGTACGTAGTTTCTCGGTAACGTTCTGTTTGAACAAGATATCTAACAGCTATTAAAAGTAAATATTTGTATTCGATGTTTGAGAATTCGGAATGGTTTTCGGCTTTATGTTTATTATTCGAATGACCTGTTTGGTATAATATCGTTACAACCTTGGAGATAGGTTGGTCATATTTATATTTGAACAATAAAATAGATGCATTGAAGCCTGACCTGCCTCAAGGATGCAACCTTGGCTTAGGAATGATCGAACTTTATTTAGAATTAATTTAGTCACGCCACTTATTATAATAGTATTGTAATATTTGAATTCCTTTGATTTTAACGCTAACGATGTTGTAATCCCTAAATCCCCGTATGAAGTGAATGTTCGTTTGTTTTACGTTAGCAGTAACATCAGACACGCCAGTATTTCGGTTGTGAAGACGTTTAATGGAGATTTCTTAACACATGTGAACATATAACCTTAACTTAAATTTAATTCAGTTAAAATAGTTTTTCATTAAATTTAAACTTTTGGTTTTAAATAGAATAACACATTAATTGTTCAAAAATAATGATAATTAGTGTATAAAATTCCATTGTTGATAAAAGATGCATCAATACATTTTTGATTTGCTACTGAATTTGTCTCTAAGAAGTGTTTCGTTTGTGATATTTAACTAATGTTTGACTAATGTTTTATACAAATAAAATGTTGATAGTAGTTTAAAAAGGAACTTAAGGATAATTTTTGTAATTATGTAAAATTATATAAATATAATACAAATTAATAGTTTAATATTAAAAATAATAATCCATCTAGAATGTAACACTTTTACATTTTTGTTTAAAGAATTCAAGAGAAAATATTAATAAAAAAGTGTGTCGCCCAACGTGGGGCTCGAACCCACGACCCTGAGATTAAGAGTCTCATGCTCTACCGACTGAGCTAGCCGGGCTGTGAGAAGCAAGTCGAAATTACGTTTTATATATGACAAGACCTAAATTTTATTAAAATTCTATACATACATGCGGTATTTTAAATATTAAATTTTATATACGCTGTGTGTGTGTACATATATGAATATTTTTATTTGTCATCTCCTAAATCATTTTTTCTTCTGTTTCTTAGATATAAAAATACTAATTTCGAAAATCTTCGAAGCAATTTCTCATGAAATTATACCCACTTTATAATATGTTATTACAAGTTATTATATAAAATAACATTTATGTAATCAAAAAACTCACAACCAGAATCAGAGCTCACGTTTTCAATGAGTCACAATTACTTTAAAGAGTGCCCACAAGGAAAAGCAGAGGCCGAAATTGGAGAAATTATGATTTTTCTGTGAATGTGATTACATGAGTGGGGTCATTATTATATGACGGTCAACTACACGACGTTTATTATATACAAATTATTTTAATACAGCCTCATAAGATGGAGGTCATGTCATTAAAATATTAAGAGGTTACAAGAGACGAAGGAATAATCGTAAAATAGGTGTCATTGAAAATGTACAAAGAAAGTAGAGTCGGCTAACAAAATAGACAAGGATAAAGGGAGTAAGTTATAAATAAAACAAGAATATACATAGATAGTCGGTGTATATAAAATTGTATTAGGTGAGAAGTGAAAAAATATATTCTTATTGTAAAACTTTAAGGAGAAGAATAACGTGACATACATACAACAAATATTAATGGTTTAAAATATTTAAATAACTTTATTAAAATATACGTTTGTAGTCAAAGTCGGGATTCGCAACATGTGTTGTGATATAAGTAAATATTATAATCTCATACAAACGTCGCGTCGTGTCGTGTCAAAGAACGATACAATTATTATTGAAATTCCATGAATAACATTATATAAAAAAGATTATTACAATAATGTCCTCAGTCCTTGTTTAATCTAAACAAATTAAACCATTTTTGTTCCACAAAATTTAGTTCGAAATTTAGTAATTGTTGTAAAGTACAGACTAGTGTTACGTTTGTTTAAGTTTAAATAAAAACTATACGATGTCAACATTGTAATATTTGGAATAACTTTAATATAAAAAATTTAAAGTTGCTTTAAAATAAATATCTAAGCTACCATAATACATATATTAAATTCTTGATTCAATACACAATATTTATTTTCTATACAAAAGCGAAAATCGCTGGCAAATGAGTGTTCGTGTCTCTCTAAGAAGAGAGTTTTCTTTGAAAGTGTTGCCGCGACCTTGATTAGATCTGCATTTAATACAAGTTACTGTGAATCAACAGAGAAATACATCTTATCTCTGAAACCTGATGATTGTTGAGGAGTCAGAGACTATCCTATTAATTTTCTATATATATATAAAAATGGATTGCTGCTCCTTAGTCTCGCTAAAATTCGATAACGGCTGAACGGATTTATCTTATCTTAGTTTTGAAATGTTCGTGGAGGTTCAGGCAAGGTATAAAAGCTGAAAAAAATTGATTCATTACTGGGAAAACCATAAAAACAGCCCTTATCTATTTCCCATACAAACGTTTTTTTTGACATTAGATTTGACAACTAACTAATATGTCAATCATTCTGTCGCACTTCAAAACACGGAGATTTATGGCTTACAGGTAAACTCCAAAAATATAAATAAAAAAACGTAATAGATATTTCTTGATTACAGGGCGATACGAAGTTCGCCAGGTCTTCTAGTCTTGCCTATTAATCTGGGAACAATCTTCATTTTACCACTAAACCTTGTCCAAGTGCTGAATATCTAAATACTAACTTAAATTGCTGTAAGTGATAAATTGATAAATTAAAAGTCGGTCAGCTGGCCAGCGAACCAGTTTGGCTGTTACCTAACAGTCGCCGGTGTTACGGACCTTTTCCTATTTATTTATTCCACGTGTATCTGTGTATTGTAATTAATCCGTGTATTGTAATAAGTCAGTGTATTGTAATAAGTCTGTGTATTGTAATAAGTCCGTGTATTATAATATGTCTGTGTATTCTAATATTCTCTCCGCCGTGTCTTCTCCGCTGAGGGTCTGCATCCCATCCAGTCGGTGTTTTCACTTTCACAGCAGAATGCCGTTAATTCAATCTTATTAAACACACATCAGCCCGCCTCTGATGTTCATTGATGACATCTCAGAAGTATTTTTATATTATTCGCCGTTTCCTCCGTCAATCAGAACGTTTACTTTCGTTATAGTAACTGGTTTCAGGTATGTATGTGTGTTTATGATCGCGGGTTCGATTTCTGTGCCGGCTCCCATTACGTAACTCGTTAAACAAGTGATATGAAAGCGAACGGTAGACATTTAGGCGACCCGTTCATATGTTTACAATTAACACGGATCTGTGACAAGTACTCCTTACTCCTTACTGTACATAATGACTGTGTCATACTAAAAACAAACTAAGACCACATTTGTTTCTATATTTATATATATAATATTCTAAATCCATTCTAATATATCTTTATATATAAAAGAAATTCGTGTTAGGTATACTATTTATGTCTCAAGAAAAGCTGTACGGATTTTGATTGAAAATGGTGGATAGCTTAGAACAAGGGAAATGACATAGGTTACTTTTCATGTGATTGAAAAATAAGAAAAAATGTGTTGATCAAATCCAAAATCATCTTATCTACTGTCTTTAAGGAGGAATACAGTTCGCCCGGTCAGATATACATTTATAATTATGAAACTAACAATGAAGTCACGGGCAAACACTAGTTAGTAATATTTTATGTATACATGTATGTATTTTATGTTTGTGTGTAGGGACTGACAGCGTTTTTCATGACATACAATCATTTCTTACAAAACACTTTCTTTTCGACTGTATGTATATATGTACACTATAAAGATATGATTTGGATGTAAATTACATCAGCCTGTGTATACTTTTCAAGGCGGTAAATTACTATATTATTCTGAAACAAATAGTAACGAGTAAAAGTCAGTCTTTGAGTGTTTTGTTAATTAAATGTTTAGGTTTTAAAAAAGACGGATTTTTAAGAATTTGTTATAAGTGTAATGATACATTATAGTACAGACAAAGCAGCTAAATATAGTATTAAATCATTCAAAATATTTTCTTTACATTCATTTTCAAAGCTTATGTATATGTTTAAATTAATAAAGAACATAAATAAACAAAGTATATATGTTGAACCATTTCTTTATTCGTGAGAACTCGTTACAATAAACCACATGTATATATGTAATGTTGCTGAAATCACATCAACTGAGTAAGGTGTAAGGACCAACCAACTTATAACATACACGCAACGGCACTGGGAACCGTATTGTGTTGAGAACACGAAATGTGTATGGGAAACTATTTCGACATTCAATACAATTAAAATTTACTTTGATACCGCTGATTTTATAACAATCACAAGTTTTTAATACGTTGTAGGTTTATGTATTAGGTAGATTATATATGTGTATTTATATAATTAAATAGGAATATTAAAATTATTTAATACATGAAAAATATTAGAAAACATATTTTTATAAGTTCTGTCTTTGATCTTCGTTTATATTATTGATATTTTTAATTTTACTTCAAATACTTAAGGTTTTTAATTTTGAGCAAAAATTTTTTTTACTTAATAACTTTTAACGAAAAATAATTACATAGTGCCATCGATGTAAAAGTTTGGACATTTTGAAAACTTACGTAAAAATATTCAACTGACCCAGAGTTTAATATAGCACCTGTGAAACAAAAATACCTCCACGCCTTTAAAATAACTCAGCTGTGGACATTTGTGTTATAAAGGAAACGAATATGAAAGGCTGTTTCGACTCTAAAGGTCATGTAAAGGATCATAAATTAAAACCAAACTTTGAATGTCATCGGACCCGCCCTGCGAGGGTGTCATTACTGTCTTTGTGAACTAATTAAAAACAAAATTAATTACTGTTTGAAATTTAAACGAAATTATTCTGAATAATGATTGTTAATGGAGACGAGGGTCTGTAAAGTAGTCTGTATGTAATAATAGTTGAGTGAGATCGTCGCTCTGTAGATAGTGTTTATTCTAAATACTCAGTGCATCTAGATACAGCGCGTTAGTGTGTGATGTGTTTTGGAATGTTTGTGGTCGCCGCGGCTCCTATCTAACATCTCCGACACTCCACAGACGAATCATTGGTCCATACATACATACATACATACATAATGTGACACCCGACTTGAGTATAGAGAATATACAATACAAACATTTATTATCAAAATATAGGAGAATTATTCATGGCAAAATCGACTTGTTTAAATTTATATTTACATTTTCATTACTACCAGATGCCAAATAACTCAATTGTTATTTCAATTCAATATCAATATGACTACACATTAAGGTGTAATAATCTTAGTTATTATCAAGAATTGATTTGCATTGATGAGAAACAAAATGTTGAAATTACTGTTCACATATTTAGGTGTAGTGTATACATGCAACGTCTCATAAAGGTATTGATACAATATAATAGAAATATGTAAGGTTTCGGATGCTATAATACATTTTAAACAAGATATAATTGTTAAAATATATCAATTTATTGTTTAATTCTCTGCGCGCCCGCTCCCTCTCCCCGTCCGCTGCGCACGCGCATCTCTCCGTAATCTCCAGCATCTCTCCTGTTAATTGATCGCCTCAGACGCCCCGCACCTGTCCCCGCTCGGTCTTCCACATGTGGAGCGTCCAGCATCTCATCTCCCACATCTACGGAGATAGATCACACGACACACGCGTTAGCATTTTTTTATTTTATTTTGACAGTTCCCTGCGACGTCCCAGATAAATGATTTGACAACAAAATATTCAAAAACCTTTTTTATTTGCGAAGTTTGTTTTCCATTTCATCTCTATCTCTACATACAATCTGTACATTCATTTATTTATCACCATATATAATTTTACGCAGACCGAAAATCAATCAATGTATATAAATTGTTTTTACTTATAGTGCAATTATTTCAAAAAAACATATATGTATATTCACTTCGCAAGAATATCGAAATCTGTTTTGTTATATAAGTTTCCGATACATATATTGTTTGACAAATAGCACACATTGTAAAGGAGATAGCGATCGTAGCCTTCTGCCAGAATACATTATTAGGTGTAGCAACAATAGTTGAGGGTAGACTTAGAACAATCAGCTAACACAGCCCGCGGCGGTACTGGCGTGGTGTGCTCTTAAACAGTGTAGCTGGGATGGTGGGTACATATTAGGAGATGTATTTAATGTTAAACTAATTAAATTAGGGAAAATGAAACTATGTAATATTTTTCGGATTATACTACGCGTGTTTTATTGTTTGAAAACTACATACTCCCGAAGTTTCGGTTACTTTTCACAAAAGTAAACATATTTAAATGAATACTCGCGAAAGTCTTAGATATCATTACATTACGGAAATATTGACTTGTATTCGTTATGTTAAAAAAGTAATTCTTCCTTATATTTAGATCATTAGATCGCCTTGATCTTGCCATATTTTAATTATAAATATTTCTATTTGTAATTATTTCTGTTTGTCATAACAATAACGAATGTATATTGTTCTACTCGTCTGCTCGCCTGCTCGTCTCCTCGGCGTCTGTTCCATACAAATCAATAGTGATATTAATACAATCTAAAGTCTAAACAATGCATGTCCAGGGGTGATGTGCTGTGTGGTCTGAACAATGGCATCTATCTAACATCGGAGTATTGTTCCCGCGCGGTGTGGATACACAGACCACCACCGGCAACATGCACATGCACAGACACACAGCAGGCCTCTGTGCGGACATCATCATCACGACTCACCAACCTTATAATACAACATTATAAGGAATTCTAGATCTAGATTAAACACTGAAACCCTTGTAATTGGAGAAGAATCAGGCAGAAAACTATTGCCTTCAGGCTTCTCTGAATGTTGATTTGTCGTTTTTCTTCAATGGATGGTTTCTTTATATCATCTCAATTATTACTAAAACAATATTGTTACATCGATCTAAAGTTATTCGTAGTTTTATTAACATTTTTACAAAATCTCGCTGAGTATTTGTTTTAGAAGATTTTATATGATGAATTTTCATCAATGTAGGCCGTCAGGGATGAATTGTAATACTTCCTATATAAGTTAGTAAGGTCTAACATATTAATGAGCCAGTATGAATCCATCTTCTATGCTAGGAGAGTATCTTTATCCCTTTGGTTCGCTTGTCTCGTGTCTGCGACGCCTTTTGTCTCGTGTGTGAGCCTCCGCGAGCTTTAATACCTTTAATTGGTGACTATGAATCAACCCTTCTTTAATTTTTAATATCTGGCACTTGCATCGTCACGATTATTAAGTGCTCGTGTAATTTTAAACTTTACAGCTCACGTAATTAGGTCCCATTTAAACGAAATGGATTTCGTTTTGTTCTATCCATGATTGAAATGTCGATCGGTGTGGTGAGTAGACGATATTGCGTCTTTTGTTGAATAGATTACAGTCGATTTTCAATTGAAGCTGTATGATTATAGATTGAAAATGTTATACAAATCGATTATAAAATAATTGAATTAAATTTATAATAAAGGCGCACACATGTCGATGTCGAAGTAGTGCGAGCGCCGCGGCTGAGCTTCCGATACCAGGCCAGATAAATTATAAGCATTCTATTTATAATACAAGAACATTCGCGTTTAATAAAACTATTCAAAATTAATATTTGTTGAGAGTATGAGTAGTTCATATCCTGGGAGTCATCAGAGTGACAATACCTTATAAGTATAGTGTGAGCCCGCGGGTTCTCACGGACGTAATTATAAATATTCACAATGACATCTCGTTTGTGTACAGAGTTAGTAATTAGAGTAAGCGTCGTTTAGTTCATATGTCGCCGACTACCGTTAACAGTCGTGTTACTTCCTCTACACTGACTGAGAGATATAAAAATAATATAATATTACGATTTGAATATTCATAACAGGTAATGTTAAATAAATTACAACAATAAGCATTGAATCTACATATGTATATAAAAGAAAATGACATTATTTATAACTCAAGAACGGTTGCAGGGATATGGTTGAAAATTGGCGTAAAGATAGCTCAGAACCAGGAGACGGACATAGGATATTTCATTCTGTTGAATCGAAAAAGAGAAAAAAAATATATAAAATCCAATATCTGGTTATTTCGGTCTCTAGGGCATAATAGAGTTCGCCTGGTTAGCTATATGTACATTGTACATATATTACTAATTCCAAAATAACTCGGACGAAGTCACGAGCAATAACTAATCGCTAATAATTTTCAAAAACTACACGAATTTCTTAATATGTATAAAACTTCGTCTCAGCCTTAGTTAGAGTGAATTGAAGTCAATTTAAGTGAAACATTCCTGGGTGTCAGTCATAAACCGTGTTTATCTCAGCGAGTGTGTTATCACTCGAGACACTGAACTATATTGAGTGTCCACCTCACCTTTAAATACATCAAGCAGTACACTCAGATATACTATTAAACTAAACTATTCATATACCATCTATTAATATTACTAACTAAAACCTAATATATGATTTAATATTAATTTCGATGCCTTATAACTATAAAAAGTTATTTTACAAAGATTTTTCTTATAATAATAATACCTATATTTTATAATTTATAATATTTACTGTCTTTAGCTTATATAGAAGTATTTATCTTAAGCCTGATCACTCTCACTCTTCGACATATGAACTAATGGATTATACAAATAACTGCAAATGTTTTCTAGTAGTTTATAAATGTTTTCAAATCATTACAATACAATAGTTATTTAACGTGATCTGTTCCAGTTTTTCTGTATCGTCGTAATGTCTACAACTTTCCCACCGCATACCTTAGCCGCGGGCGGCGCCTTCACAAATTACAGACCACATAATATTTGATGAAGTCAAGTGACACACATATAAAGATATTTATAATAACACTAGTTTTTGTCAGCGACTTCGTCCGCGTTAATTTCGGAATTAGTAATATATGTATAGCTGACCGGGCGAACTCTATTCCGCCCTAGAGGTCGTAAATAACTAGATACTGGAGTATATTAAGTTTTTTCTATTTCGATCGAACAGACTTAAATATCCTATTTATGTCCTTTCTTCGTTCTAAGCTATATCTCCACTAATTTAAAACCAATACCTACAGCCGTTCTTGAATTATAAATAGTATAACTAACAAGACTTTCTTTTTTATATTTATATAGATATCCAGATCACTATTTGAATTGTATTCGTCAAAGAAGTGTACATGAAGAGTTGCGACATCTTATCCATATTATAATTGTACATTAAAACACGATTTATAATTCATTCAGCCACCTACTGTCATGTATATAATATACAACATCAACCTCAAGTCATTTCAATGTAATACCTATTATATAACCTTTCGTTTCCTAACATTCTTCCGTTAAAGCCGAGTCATTATAATTCTTCTCCCATTATTTCCCCGCCTGCAAGTGATTCATATATTTGAGTACAATCCTATGTATATTTCTCACGGTGTGATCAAAGCTTCCGCGTCATCGGACGCATTATCAAGGAAACGCGTTCCTAAATCACTGTGATTGTAAAACCATCATTCACAACACGGTACAAAGAACAAACTATAACATTATCTAGCGAGAGGTTAATTTATTATATTACTAAGTGTTTTTATTCTCATTGCAAATCAGTACATAGTAGAGGCGTAAATAATGTTGGAACGTAATTTGACAGATTTATGCTGAGATGCATATTTTAGAGGCTTTTAACTTGATTTAAGATGAAAAGCTGAAAGAATTTATCATCGAACTTACTTGTTTACGAGCGGCCGGGCACTTAGCGAGCCGCCTCCCCCGTCGACACACTGGGACCTGGACGGACCCGCGAGACCTCACTCGGACCTACACTTATTATACTACTTACTAACATTATATTTAAATTATTTTTATTTGAACTGCGATTTTTTGTCATTTTCATTTAAAATTAAGATCAATTTCCTTATCAATGATCTTTCAGCGTGAACATTTAACACTCCTTATCAGTTTACCTTTAAAAGTATCCGTCTGTGTATAAAGCATGTCATAAAAATAAGCAGACATTGTTAATTCTGTCATTACATAAAGCCATGGATACACTTGACATATATCACGAGTATATAACACTGTTTAAAATATAATAATTTAAAATTTTTGTTTAAATGCTATGAGAAGATTTATTACTGAGGAAGTTTATCGTGAAGGTCGATAATATTTTCATTATTTAACGTAAAGGATGTGGCCAAGGAAAGCTGCGGTATGAAGCTAGTTTTATCATCTCCAGCAGATGGCGGATCGCCTTGGCCAAATTAGCACCGCTCACTACGACTACGGCCGGTGTAAACGGAACGGCGACCATTGAGACAGATATCAATATTACGGCAATTAATAGACTCCATACAAGGATAATTAATATAGCATTTTTATGGTAAATATACATTTTATTGCTATATAAAGAATATTATGGCTTCAGATAACAATATGAATATAGTCAGTGGTGGCCTAGTGGTTAAAAGGCCCGCCTCTCATACATGGGCCGCGGGTTCGATTCTGGCCTGGCAAGTACCAATGTGATTTTTCCGAAACATATGTACTTTGTACGAGTATTTAGACGTCACTGATTAATGCTGATTCCCAAAGAGGGTTGATGTCAGATAGGCGGCCTAAATAAAACTATTCACAACATGTAAGGCAGACCCTGGCTAAAACTGGGAAATTGCAAGGAAGAAGAAGAAAACAATATGAATTTCGGTTAAATTAAGACTAATAATAAAATAAAAACTAATAATAAAATAAAGACTAATAATAAAATAAAAAAAAAACGCATCCCCTCTCCGTCTTCAACGGAGAGGGGATGCGTAAAGCATTTTTTCCCAGTGCGCACAAAAAAAAAAAAAAAAAAAAAAAAAAAAAAAAAAAAAAAAAAAAAAAAAAGACTAATAATAACACATTAGTGCTTTTCACAAACAGATACTTCCAACGCGACATCTATATACATAACATATATACCTATTATATAGCATTTCCTTGAACTAAATTTGTCAAACAAGTTGGATAACGTTAACTTAGAATGTGCTTTAAAATGGTATCTGTGTAAAAACCCAATCAAATTCCTTGTACTAATGAATATTGGAGTAATTACATTGAATATTAAACAGATGTAAAGTATCTTGAGAATTATAGCAATTAGGTTTATTTACTAATGAAATTGTTGTCTTGATTACTTATTTTGACTATATTTAAATTTTAACTAACACATCCTTTACTTAAGTAGTATTTCATGAAATATTTCTAATCCGATCGTCGTTTACTTTCTGTTTTATTGTACAAGTGGTTTCGATATATGTACGTGGATGTAGGTTTGAAGTTTGTTAATCTTTAAACAAAAAAACATATTGTAAAGTATTGAATGTAATTTTTCAATAATATAGCTTAAATATGAGAATAAAATAATTACTATGATCTATGCCGAAAATCTGATAAGTTGACACAATAACACATCATAGTAGATAGTGCTAGATGGGAATCATATCTGGGACTTTGTTTCAACTGATTTCTGCACTCGACGCGTTCGAAGTCGCGGTAGAGAGCTAGTATGTTCCATGTCTGGTGGTGGTAGTGTGAACAGGTGAGTCAGCAGGCCGCGGACGCACCTGTGGTGAAAGCTGGTCAGCATCAGATGGCCACTTTCCTATATTAATGGATGTGTCTTACATCATCATATAACATTACATTCCACGCGTAATACTTTTTTCATTCATACTTACGATG